GGGCTGATAGCAAAGTTGAATGGAGATCTGTCCAAGTCATTTGATATGAAGGACTTGGGCCCAGCACAACAAATTCTACGGATGAAGATAGTTCGAGAGAGAACAAGTATAAAGTTGTGGATATCTCAGGAGAAGTACATTGAACGTGTACTAGAACGCTTCAACATGAAAAATGCTAAGCCAATCAGCACACCTATTGCTAGTCATCTAAAGTTGAGCAAAAACATGTGTCCTACAACAGTGGAAGAGAAAGGGAACATGGCTAGAGTTCCTTATTCTTCAGCAGTCGGAAGCTTGATGTATGCAATGGTATGTACTAGACCTGATATTGCTCATGCAGTTGGTGTTGTCAGCAAGTTTCTTGAAAATCCTGGAAAGGAATATTGGGAAGTAGTCAAGTGGATACTCAGGTACCTGAGAGGTACCACGGGAGATTGTTTGTGCTTTAGAGGATCTGATCCAATCTTGAAGGGCTATACAGATGCTGATATGGCAGGTGATATTGATAATAGAAAATCCACTACTGGATATTTGTTTACATTTTCAGGGGGAGCTATATCATGGCAGTCGAGGTTGCAGAAGTGTGTTGCACTCTCTACAACTGAAACGCAGTATATTGCCGCTACCGAAGCTGGCAAGGAGATGATATGGCTCAAACGGTTCCTTCAAGAGCTTGGATTGCATCAGAAGGAGTATGCCGTCTATTGTGACATTCAAAGTGCAATAGACCTTAGCAAGAACTCTATGTACCATGCAAGGACCAAACACATTGATGTGAGATATCATTGGATTCGAGAAATGGTAGATGATGAATATCTAAAAGTCTTGAAGATTTCTACTAAGTGAGAATCCCGCAGATATGCTGACCAAGGTGGTACCAAGGAACAAGTTTGAGTTATGCAAAGAACTTGTCGGCATGCACTCAAACTAGAAGACAATGCTACCTTCTCTAGATGAATGAGACTGGAGGGGGAGATTGATGATGTCCATCTCATTGAAGAAGTATTAGACATGTGCCTAATAAAAATTTCTTTGGTTTGGTAGCCAACCTTGTTGACTTTGTTTGGTTAGGTAGCCAACCTTGTTGACTTGGTTTGGTTAGGTAGCCAACCTTATTGAATTAGTTTGGTTTGGTAGCCAACTTTGTTGAATTTCTTTGGTTTGGTAGCCAACTTTGTTGAATTGTGAAAAGTGTGTGTAAATTGTCAAATATGGTAGGCTTTAGAGAGTGAAGCTTTGGCTATAAAATGAGAGCTTCAACTCTCATTTCCACACACCATCAAGAGAGAAAGAAAGAGTGAGGTTTCACAGACAGGGTATAAGAAAATAGTCTGTGAAGAAAATAGAGAGTGAACAATATTGTAGTGAGGTGGGAATATCAAAAGAGGGTTATTTCTTTTGAGTGTTGTAGTGGTCTTTGGAGTATTTTACTCGGACCTATAAAGTGTAAAATTCCTTACTATAGTGATATCAGTTGCTCCTCTCGGGGCCGTGGTTTTTTCCCTTATTAAAAGGGTTTTTCACGTAAAAATCTTGGTGTCGTTGTTACTCTTTTATTCTTGTTAATTACCGTATCTCGATGCTACATTATTATTCCGCTTTTATTACCGTGAATATTATTTCTGTGGGGGTTTATTCCCAACAGCTATTCCCAACTGTAATACATGCTACCATTTGCTTGCTTTTCAGCTGATGTACAATTCATCTATTTTGAGCTATCATTTACAAAATATGATTATCATAACTCAATAAACAAGAAGTAACTGATTTCCACTTTCTTGGTGCAAATTAGAAGCCGATTAAGTACAACAACATGAACGAATCGATAGGAGCATTGCTTTGTGGGCCCTGTTTTCTCAAAACATCAAAACGCTTGAAGATCTCCGGCAGCTACACCTTTCTTGATCAGTGAAATGATGTAGTCCATGAAGACCGAATCACAGGGTAATGTAATAGCGCCATTACTTGGTAGCCCGAACTCTTCTTCAGACATGTTTAAAAGTTGCCTAATGACCTCATTTTAAAGGTAAGCCAAGGGAATCACAAAGCTCCTTTGATCAATTGTGAAGACGATAAAATGGCCTTTTAGGTCGTGAGCCTGATGAGTTGACAAATTCCTCTACCTCATATTCTCTTTCTTTATTGTGAATTTAAACCACGCGATGATTTTCAGTCTAATTAAGCTACCTTAACCACTTTGAAAAAAGTCTCCTGTCTTTATGTATTTTGGCCGCAACCTGAGTTTTCTTTTACATGTACACATGCTTTTTTAAAAAGTTTTCATCTGCACTTGTCAGTCAACACTCGAAGCCCTGGAACTGTTTTCCCTGTGCATATTTACATAACATTGCAAATGGAAAAACAGCTCGGATCATGTCTCTGTACGTTTATCAGTTTAGGAGTGAGACAAAGATACCGTGAAATCTGTTTCTATCTCTGAGCCTGAACTTGCATTTTTAACAAAGCTGTTGAACTTGGCACAGGTCATCTTTGAATGTCACACAGCTGAAGCTTACTCATGTTCTGTTTGTAATTTCCATTGCTCATGACAGATCCTTGAGGCCGAAAAAATATGTACTTTCTTCCTCTAGTAGATTTTTAGGCATTTTCTCAAATTGCAGAGAAACATATTGCCTTACATCACGACCCCTCTTTTCGTACCGCTAGGGATGCTTAACGTCACTTCGCCAATTGGCATTACCTGCCTTCTATCCTAGTGAACAATGTTCCACTGATTAGGAGGGGACAAGATTAGAACCTGCAATCTTCGGGTCATGAGCCTGATGAATTGACCAATTCCTCTATCCCGCATTCTCTTTCTTTGCTGTGAATTCAAACCACGCAAAACAAGCCTCCTTTCTTTATGTATTTTGGCCGCGACCTGAGTTTTCTTTTACATGTACAAATGCTTTTACAAAAGATTTTCATCTGCACTTGTCCGTCAAAAGTCGAAACAGTCCGAGTTTTCTTGCAGCTACCACGCGTCAAAGAATCGCCCTACCGTACCCCAGTAAAATTAACTGATGAAATGCAACCACCTGGAACTGTTTTGCCTGCATATTTAGATAACATTGCAAATGGAAAAACAGTTCGGATCAGGTCTCTGTACGTTTATCAGTTTAGTAGTGAGATAAAGATAACCTGAAATCTGTTTCTATCTCTGAGCCTGAACTTGCATTTTCAACAAAGTTGTTGAACTTGGCACAGGTCATCTTTGAATGTCACACTCACACAGCTGAAGCTTACTCATGTTCTGTTTGTAATTTCCATTGCTCATGACAGATCCTCGAGGCCGAAAAAATATGTACTTTCTTCCTCTAGTAGATTTTCGGCATTTTCTCAAATTGCAGAGAAACATATTGCCTTTCATAGCTAGTGTATAAAGACTGCAATGTTGATGTACTGGTTTAAGAATCCGTGAGACACCTTTTACATGTCCTGAGATTGCAATTCTAAAATTCTTTAATGACTGAAAGATAATACACTGCAAAACACCCGAAAAGGGCGTAAGATAATAAAGACAGGAAACAAGAAAGAATCAAGGCACATGATTCGTTGCTTTAGTGTCGCATACAACTTCCAGGAACAATCTTTTTCCTTCTGCATACAACTTATCATTGAACAAAATTGGGCTGCTACAGATTGAATGTTTGAAAATAGCTGTTACTTATTTGTTCTACTAGTTTTTGGTCAAGCGCGTTGCGCGTGTATTCCATACGAAGATCAATGTTTTTAAAAATCACATAATATATCGTTGAAAAGATGCAAAATGTTTTATAAACAAATCATTTTTTTGATCTGTGAGGTAAATCAGATAAATGAAGATTTGGTATATGAATATAAGTAAAATGGATTCTGGTGAGAGATATAGATAATCAAGATTTTTTATTCAAAGATCTGGTTTGAAAGTAATTAATTGCATCATTAACCAAATTTTCTTTTCATCCTTCTTATATTGCAGAAGCTAGTCTATTTTGTGTCCTTATGTTTCCTTTGTTTGTAGCAAGTGTTTTTTGAAATTTCTGATTTACTGCCATGATTTCTGATCTTTTCTTGGTATATAAAGTATGATTGGTACTTCTGCGATTGAAGTTCCAGATTTTTCCTTTAGAGGAACATTTTATGAAAAAAGAAAACACAATATTTAAGAAGATGTTTTACTCCCTCTATATATACTAAACTGAACCTCCACATTTAACTTGGTACAGATATGAAAATGGCCCTGCAAAAGTGTATTGCTAAAGTTAGAGCATGATCATTACGACAAGCAACTTCTGATGGAGAGAATACAAGACTAGTTGAGCTCTACATCCCAAATGAAGAATAGTTGCTCGACTGCTGGAAGTATGTTTGATTCCTAGAAATAGTTCCCCTTTGGTCCGCTTGCTAATAGTTCCAAGGCTTCTTTCATCCATCCATTGTGGCACAGCTTTCTTGCTTCGCGAACATTCATCTGAATTGGTTTTTGAAAGTCTACCTGTCAGCAAAGGCGAAGATGTGATATCATTTCACAAGACTACTATTCTGGTCTAAGAGAGTTGTCACGTCACATTTACTAATAAGACCAGTAAATAGATATATATAGATTTAAAAAGAATGGATTATTGCATACCCAAGTTAGTTCTCTCGTGAATCTCTTTCTCAGGCCAACAGTCTAGTTGTTCTGCTACAAACAAAGGAAACATATGCTCTTCATAGGCAATGCTACCGGCTTTAGAGCAAAGGGTTTCCACACTTGCAAATTACTTTCATTAGAATGTGACCTTTGTTTCTAATGTTATTACAGTATGCGACAGGAACTGGCTGCATCGGTCAGGGTGTCATGGTGTTCATCTTTATACAACAAACGAAGTCCATACTTCTTCATTACTCCAGAAAAAGATAGCCTAATAATCCCATAGTCATTTGGTGTTTTTCCATTTGCCTTAGATGTATCCCATAAGACAGCAAAAGGTACAAAGAAAAAACGTATATAATATTCTGAATCAGATTCTGAAGGGTTGGATAAGTATAGTTCCTGGATCATCCACGACATTGTGTCATTACCTACGGGAATCAATTGAGTTGCAGTGTAAACTAATCTGCCAGAGTAACATACAGCAAATCCCAAGAATTTATCAGGTATATACCAATTTCCAGGCAAATTAACTGATACACTACTATCCGTTCCCTGATAGAAGAACCAACTTGGGATCTTCCTCTCAATATGCACAATGGTAAACACACTTTCGGACAATGAATCTGAAGCAGAGATGTCATGCCTCAAGGAAGAGATATTCTGAAACAGAGCATGTGCAAACAAATTATATATAGCATCGTTGTGTGCATCATCCTTATAATACAGTGGTTTGAATATCACCCTCTGTTGTTTCTTCCTCTTTGTTACTAAATCATGGATAAATTTCAGAGCCATATGACAATCAACATGCAATATATTTAATTTAGGGGGAAGTTCTGGTAGCCGTGTAAGCCTCTGGCAATATGATAAGTCTAAGGATCGAAGAGCACCAAGTTGGGCTATGCTTCGAGGCAAATGCTCAAAATTATTTCCATGGAGATTCAACTCTTTCAAAGAGGATAAGGATCCAATGTCTTCCGGAAGTCCTCCATCTATTAGATTGCAGTACCTGAGATTCAGAATTTCCAATGAGCGTAATCCTTCAGCCACTGGAGGGAACTCAAAGTGCACTCTATCCCGTACGAATCCAAAATCCAATACTTTAAGTTTGTTCAAGCGTGCGATGGAAGATGGAGGTCGTGAAATTAGAGTCCAGCTGGCATCAAGCTTTTCCAAGTTTTCTAAATCCCCTATCTCTTCTGGCAGGCTTTCAAGTTTTGAGCACTCCGACACATCTAAAATAACCAAATTTTTCATCCTACAGATGCTGCTTGGAGGAGCTAAAAGGTTTTTCATATAACTCAAATTTAGCTCGGTAATATGAGTTTGGTATTGAAAAATAGAGGATGGTAGTTCCCTTATCCCAGAGCTTCGCATGTGAATCTGTATCTCCGGCTTCATTCTCCCGTGTATTTCTGGAAATTTCTCTAAACTAGAGCAATATATTAAATCCAGATATTCAAGAGATTCCATGTTAACACATGGAAACCTCTTAAGGCGACGACAATGAAACAAAACTAACCGAATGAGTTTGTTGCAACATCCCAGGGAATGATGAACCTCTTCAAGATTATCACAACAAAACAGATTCAAATACTCCAAATTTGGCATCCCCGTGAAATCCGGTGTTCGCATCAGTCTTCTAGACCCGCTGAGATCTATCCTCCGTAGAGACGGCAAATGCTGTTCAGAAAACGGATAAAATGAATAATAACATTTGAATTATGAGGGCCAACACATTATTTTGTGCGAAATTAGAAATTTACTTTTTTATAAATGGAAGTTACTTGTTCAGAAACTGAATAAAATGATTGAAAAAACATGTAGGAAAGAGAAATAAAATGCTTTAAAGAAGTGAAATATAAAATGGGGAAGCAATGTATGAAATCGTATATGTCATTCTTGAAAATAGTTGTACAAAATGAACTCTTTTTGTTTTACTAATAAGTATTCCTTCCATCACATTGTATACAATCTAGGATGAAATTCATATGAATCTAATGTTACTATGAGAAATAATTGAATGAGTTCTTAAATTGAGCTTCTTAGTTAAAATGATGATGGATGATTTGAAAAAAAAGGACATAAAGATCTTAATACTGAGAACAACCCCAAATAATGTAAAATACAATATTTTCTTTTGAGATGGAAATACATTAGTTTGAGCTTATTAATTAATACTTCCTCCGGTCCATAATAAGTGATACTTTGGTCATTGGTACACCCCTTAAGAAAAATACTAACTCCTAGGAAAAAAAGTTATTTTGACTAAATTACCCTTAATTAAAATTAGCATATTGTTAACTTGACATATTGAGATTTGTAAACAAGGGCAAAGTTTGTAAAAACAAAATTAATTCCTTCTTGATTATGTAAAAGATCACTTATTTTGGACCAAAATAGAAAGACAAAAAAGGTCATTTATTATGTACCAGAGCGAGTAACTTCTGTTCATTAAAGACATGCATCATAATACTAGCTAAAAAAAAGGAAGTACCTCAAATAATATGTGACAAAAGCAATAATATTTGTTCATTATCACTAAATTAAAGGACAGAGATACTTAGAGAGAAATAAATAGCAATAAAATAGAACTCAACTATTGTACCTTTGTTTTCATCCATAAATAACGCAGTGAACTATCCGAGAGTGCAAGGTGAACAAGCATTTTGGGTTCAAATGTAGATGGTAATGACTTCCAAGGATAGTTTTTCCACACAAACCAACGCAAGTTGTTGGGCAGATACTCAATGGCATAACGGGGCGACAACCTCTCCTCAAATATGTCGACATTAATGTTAAATATCCTAAGCCTTTTCATATTTTTCATGGCCTTTTTGCTAAAGCGTAATCTACCATTATTGAAATTAGCAAGAAAGATTGCTTCCATTGTGGTCCCCTGGTAAGAAGAAGATCATTAGTCGACAAAGCATAATTTCAAATATCGTATAAAATCCGCTTGCTAATATGACTACTTTCTCACTCCTAGTAATGCCAAAGTTTTGAGATACAATATTAATTAGATCTTTTTTAAGAAATACTGATGTTACTTCACAGAAATACTTTGTGCAATTAATTCTATAGTTCTATTTTCTAATATTACATTTTTCCTAGAAGTTTATAAGAGTCAAGTTTATAAGCTTTTCATGTTGGGATAGAAAGAAACTTCAATTGAAACAATACCAATAAATTGTAGTAGTAACTTTTTAAAATTTTTAAAAAAATATAAACAATGGTAAAGTGAATCTCTGATTGAGTTATTATGTAATAACATGTCATAAAATTTTCAAGTTAATCCAAAGAATGAAATTAGATCAAACAGATTAAGTGGCTGCTAGACTAATCCATCACTTAAAATATAAGAAAAACAAATTAGGCAATGTAAATTAAAGAGGCTACTTAAGGAATTAGGAAATTAATGTCTTTTTTTTTACTAATTAGGCAATTAATAACTTTTGCCTCTGCTACTAACTAAAGTAAACAACTAAAATGACGTACCTGCAAGAGTATGAAGCAAGATGAACAAATAATTGGAATTGACTGCCCTATATATCATTGGAATATGAAAATTAAAAATCAAATACTCTTGCATTGTTTAGCCTACTTACTGCATTATTGGTCATGATTTCTTCAAAATCCTCGGCGAGCCATAATCTGCTGCGTTCTCCCGGATTCTTTTGCAAGTTCACTATATATTTACCCATATCTTCTATAAAGTCGTGCATTTGAATCTCATCATTTTCAGAGATGAACACAAGAGATTTGTCAATTAAAATACGCAATGTGTATTCAGCTCCAATATGACAACTCTCAAGAACTTGCATGGCGTAATCTTTTTCTTGCCCTCGCAATAAGCATGCTATATCTAGAAACATCTCTTTTTGGATGGGCTCCAATCCATCATAACTGATTTTGAGCTTTTCAACAATTTCCGAATTAGAATTAATTTTCATGTGCTCTATCGCACTTTTCCATTCAGTTAAGCCTAGGTTATGCAGCAAAGAACCCCACACTTTGAGGGCTAAAGGAAGGCCTTTAGCATAATTTACAACCTCCAATGAAAGCTCCTTAAAATGCTCATTTGGAAATTCTTTTCCGAAAGCATGTTGATTGAACAATTGCATGGATTCCTTCTCAGGTAGTGCAGTCACTTCATATATTACATCATTCTTCTCTATGAAATGCTTGTCTCTAGTTGTTACAATAATTCTACTGCCATCACCAAACCAATCAAGATTACCAGCTAAATACTCTAAATGATCTTTATGATCTATATCATCAAGCACAATTAGCACCTTCTTAGAGCAAAGTTTGTCCGGAATCATCCGCTTCCCATCATCCTTATTATTGACATAATCATCTTTTCTTCTTAACAATTCAGAGAGAAGGGTGTTTTGCAAAGAATACAGTTGATGTCTTTTTTCATTTTCTTTAATATCCATAAGGAAACAAGCAGCTTCAAATTTATGAGATAAAGTGTCAAAAATGGCTCTTGCTATTGTCGTCTTCCCTAGACCGCCCATGCCCCAGATCCCCAATATGATCCGAACATCATAAATTCCTACCTTAAGTAGGGACTTTAATTTCTCCAAGTGAGTATCTATTCCCACAATATCTCGCAAAGAAGATAAAGTAGCACTATTGCACAATTTAGAAATTTGGTCGATAATGTGCTGAATATTCTCTGCTTCAATCCTACGAAAATAAGAAGATTAATTGTGGATAAATGTAAGAAAGTCAAGTATTAGTAAGCATTTCATAATTAATTTTTTTATTACATAGGGGTAGGGGAAAGGGAGAGAAGATTGCAAGGTGAGGAATCAAACTCTCATCAACTAGGTAAATATCCAACAAATTGAGCTACTAAATGTAATAACCCGATTCTTTTTTATACTAATTAAATGGTGAGATTTAAGAATTAGTTTAGTTTGTAGCTATTGGGTCGAATATTAAACAAGTAAAAGGGAATTTGTTATAATATTATATAAAATGGTGTATTAAATAAGTAGCTAGAGGCTAATATTTCAATTGACTTAATTAGTTGTTGGCCAGTTTTGTTAATAAATAATCAATAAATAAAAAATAAGCCAAGCCCACAATTTAAGGACTTCACGTCGAGATTATTTCGAATGTGGGAATTGATGCACTATTAGGGTATTCTCTTTGAAGGATTGATATAAAATAACATTGGCTTTGGAAGGCGGTAGTTCCGTCAAAAACTACATTGAGGCTTTTCTTTTCAACAATTCAATTCATATACATCAAATGTTAGAAGATATACGTTTGGGGAAAAGAAATATTACTGCTAGACCCTATAACCAGAGAAGGCAAATAGGAGAAGCTTTTATTATTTCAGATTACGGTGATAAGCTTCAGGTTGAGGCCGTTTGGTTGGTGTTCTAGACATTGCAAGGTTGGGGAACGTCCCGTTAGTAAGGTAAGTGAGACTTTAAGCTTACTTTTCTAAAATACGTTTTCAAAGTATGTTTTTTTTTGCCTGGTCCATGTGTTGGAACGAGCGTGCGCTTGGCAGAATCGGTGGTCTTTGACCAGCCGCAAATATATATTATTTTGTAAAAAGCTAAAAAAAAATTAATAAGTGATTTGTAGTGCACTGTGATGTGGCGTAGCCTTTTGCTATGGCGTTGGAGCGTTGAAATTATTTCTTCGCGGCCGTAATATATTTGGGGCATTGTGTATTCCGCCGTGATATATTTGAGGCATTGTGTATGTTGTTGCTATATAGTTTGGGCATTGTGTATGCCGCCGTGATATATTTGGGCATTAGTACGCTGTCGTGGACTCGTTAGGGTGTTTGGTTAATTTCCTATACTGCCGTTAATGGAAAGTCCTTAGTGTAGATTGTGTTGAGATATATATTATATTGTTGTTGAATAATTGTTTGGGCCTTGTAGAGTAATTATTTCTGTTCATATTATTTGTGTGCTCGTTGTGTGTTTGTATTTTCTAACACTTGTTCCAGAGGTATTTAGAGTGGCGGATCGATGATTTTACTGGGTTATATTTATGTATAACTCACTCCTTACCTGCATGTCCATGCACATACTATTGGTGAAGAAGGAGCTAATAGTCGACGAGCTCGCTAGAGTTGATTCAGTTATTGAGGTGAGCTGCCACATTGTTCGTGGAGGTTGCCCAAAGAGTCTTTATCATTTATTCATATGAGATCTTTTGTAATTCTTTTAGATGCTCCATGGTCTAGTGTGAGATTTGGGCTAGAGTTCTAATCTAATATTTTGAGATATTAATTGTTCGTAATGGTTATGAGATTATTTGGATACTCATTTAATTAATCAAATACTGTAAATTAATGGCTAAGGTAAGAAAGTATGGTTCGCCCGGTAGGTGGTGTTAGCTGAGTGTCAATCACGTCTAGGGGGTAGTTTGGGACGTGGCACTAAATATTGTTAATTTGCATAGAGATGATTAAAAGACTACGCACATAAAACAAACGCTTGAAGGAGCAATCAAAATATTAAGATGTTTTTATTTATTCTCTCTAATTATATTGATAGGAACAATACCTTCTTACTGATGGAAACATAAATAACAACCATCATTCCTTCTTTTCAGGAAAAAATAAAATAAAAATATTTTTAACGTCTAAATGACAATCAATGAAATTAGATTGTGTAAGCAGTATTCTTAGCAAAATAAATTGACTAAGTTTCGACCTTTTAATTTTTATTTTGTAAATATGATAAATTTATTTAGTTTCTATTCTGTTTAACTCAAACCCGCAACCCAAGAGTTTGGAGTTGGAGGTGCTTAGCACTTGAGCAACCCTCTCTTTGTAGTACTCCATTTTTTTTCATTATAAGAAATTACTATGTATTTGTTTTTAACTCACCCGTCACGGACATCATATCCTTTTAGATTTGCGGCAGCAGTTAGAGCATTCCTCCATCTTTGGAGCTTCAGCATTCCTTCATCATCATCCTTATAGCTTGTTTCATGTTTGTCAAAGGCTTCAGCAAAGCTCTCCCTCTGTTTCCGAACATGTGATGGATCCACATCATAGAAGACTGGTATGACAGTTTGTCCGCATTGATCCTTACATTCCATGATCTTCACTAACTCATCTAAGCACCACCTAGATGTGGCATAATTCTTTGAGAAAATGACGAGAGCAACTTGAGACTGCTCGATAGCTTTCAAGAGTTCATTTGGTATTGATGCGCCATGCTCTAGCCTTTTATCATCTTGAAACGTGAATATTCCACTGTTTTCCAAGCCTTTGAAGAGGTGACCTGTAAATATTTTTCGAGTATCTTCACCTCTAAAACTTAGAAAGACTTTGTAGTTCCACCGAGGAAACTGTAAAGTACTCGTAGAAGCAGAAGATGATGCCATTGATTTAGTTAATTTATTTGAAAAGAAAAAAAAATGTATGTTGATAAATTATATAGTTGTGGTAAGAGATCAACTGATGATAATAGGAGAGAATTAAAGAAATATACAACTAGCTAGTAGCACTTCAAATAAGAAAAGTAGCTACTAGCTCATCCATAGAATTATTGTTATTGGACCTAGTCAACTGATGCATGATGTAACATTTAATGTGGTAGGAAATTATTGTGAAGCTTCTTCTTAATGCTTTACTTCAGTTGAGTTTCTTTGAGCTTTAATATAAGGAAGTAGGAAATTCCTTCAATACTCCGCTGTATATACAAAATGGACAGCTAAAAATACAAGTGGATGCATTGAATTGAATTATTGCTCCAAAGCACAAACACAAACGTCCCTCTCTCTCTTCTCTGCCAAAATTGAACACAAAATTGAATGACTTCTGGGTAATGAACACAACATTTAATAATTTTTATGTAACAAAAGAAAGAAGAAGTGATTTTGGGAAATGAACACAAAGTTGAATTACCACCTATAAAATTTAGTCGCTGATTTGTTCCCAATTTATTAAGGTTAAGAAAGTTATAATAAAGTTTCGACAAAATTGTACAATATATTGTGGAACATATCATTCTGCAAAAAAAAAAAAAAAAAAAAAAAAAAAAAAAAAAAAAAAAAAAAAAAAAAAAAAAAAAGAATTATCTGGTCGACTTTTCAATCCTTTTTCCTATTGCTCTTCCACCTTTAACAGGTACAGAGCCTTGCTGCCTTTTTAGCGTAAAATCTTTCTTATGCTTGTAGTAAGACTTGGGTTATTTATTGTGGTCGTTGTAATAAGACAACTGATTATATTTCCGATTAAGTTATAAATATGAGACAAAAAATAAATAAGTATCACTCCAAAAATGAAAAGTTTCTAGAAAAGATGGACTCTACACCATACAATTATTGCTATTGGATAATGTAGCATTATATGTGGTAGAGTCTCATTGAGTATTACTTCTCGGGCGAAAACATATGCTCTCCTCCCTAGATCTTATGTCAATCTTATTGTTTTTCTTTTCTTTTCTAAAACTAGGCATCACATGGTGCGTATTAATTAAGAACACTTCTTTTTCTTCGTTCTTTTTGATTTATTCTTTCAAAAATTTCACATATTAAAATTCCTATTTTTTGTTTGTCACCGGAAAATCGTATATGATTAAATAAAATGTGCATATATTATACTAGTGGATAATGCAGCATATAATATGCTTTTGGGTTCAACTAATACCAACATTTTCAGCACGGAGTACGGATATAGATGTAAAAAAATTACTATTAAAAAATAATAATTTTGAACTTATAATTTCAAAAGTGTAATGAGTGCAATAGTAAGAACCAAACTTTGAACCCGTAAAATTTATATTCTGGATTCACCTCTTCGTAACAGTGCACCCATCTTCTCAAAATCTTAGATCTGCCTTCGATTACTCCTAATGGAAAGTAAATAGTAGGAGATTTTTGTGAAGCTTCTCTTAATGTTTTTCTCCAGTTGATTAGAATTATTATTGTTATAGGGTTTTCTTTGCACTGTAATAGAAGGAAGTAGGAAATTCCTTCAAAGACCAACCACCCTCCCTGCACCAAATTCCACTGTAAACACAAGGGACAACTGAAAGTACAAGCAGATATATGAAGCTACAAAGAAAACGAAGGGTAATATCCCAGTAATTTTCTTTGTCAACAGTTGTACTAATCAAAAGCAATACTATGGTCTTATTTTTCTTTGCACGGATAGGAAGTGACAACAATTGTAGGTCCATAAATGAGAAGGAATGTTACTTTTCTCAAAAACTTTATATAAAAGAATTAACTACTGTAAAAATACTTAGGAGCGGATGTGTGGTATTAAGAAATCCGCTAAATAAATAAAAAAGAGGGCAGTCCAGTGTACAAGACATCTCGTGTTCACACAGGATTCAGGAAAGGGACACACCCGAAAGGGTGTGACGTAGACAACCTAATGCAAGTATTAGTAACTGCTTTCACGACTCGAACCCGTGATCTGTAGGTCACCTGGAGACAACTTTACCATTGCTCCAGGGTTCCCCTTCAAATCCACTAAATGTATAAGAATTTTTAGCTCGGAACCTAATCTGCTAGTTCGGTTACTATTTATATTATGATAAGATCGTTGTAGAAACCCATAAACTTTAAATCTTAGATCGCGTCCGAAAATACTTTAAAGTTTCTGTTATACAGGATTGAACTGGAGCCTGTAATATGTGTATATATTAAATTTGAGTGAGTCATTTAGGGGCCCTAGAATGACTTTGTTAGGTAAGAAAGTAATGATATATTAAGGGTTCTATGAATTGTTTGAATTTTTCAGTGGTCACTCTCTATGATGGAAATTCTGAGAATCTATTTCTGAAGTAATTTAATTCTCAATAATGATGAATTTTTTGTTTCGTTGATTTTTTTCAAAATAATAAAAATTTACATTGACTCACTGTTATATATATTTTCTTCGTTTTAGAACAAAATGAAGAAGTTTGGAGACTGAAAGTTAAACTTTCTACTTCTCGATCTCATATCACTACTAGAGTCAATGTATATGTATATATTAAATTCTCGATCTCATCTATAATTAGCAAAATTCGTCCACATAATACCGATCGAAATTGGTCGGAAATTAAGTAAAATGGTCGCAAAAGTCAAAAAAAAATATTTCTAGAAATAGTGGTCCCACAACAAAAAAATAAAAATTCCGACCGATTTCGGTAGAATATTTGAAATTATGTTTTCCCGCCCAAGACAATTGGTTTTTAATATAACAAAAGTTATATATATTTAATTTACCAATCGGAATAAGTTATAATTAGATATTTCCGACCGAGTTTGGTTGGAAACAGAATTTTAAAATAATTAAAATATAAATTAAATTATNTATATATATATATCAATTAACGATCATCACTCTCTACCTTAGCGACCATCACTTTTCCGGCTAATTAAAAGAGGTCAGAAATCGATCGTTTTTCTCAAATTCCGACCAATTTCGGTTGGTTTTTTTGGACGAAATTAGCCAATTTCTTAGTAGTGTCAAATCGAACATCATTTTTTAAAGTCTTTTTTAGAATAAATTTTATTCTTTTATTTTATTTTATTTTTTAAATCCAATTCACTCCAATAGATAGGCATGGTTCTGTAGTCAAAGCAACTTCGTCATTTTCGTGTATCGGGGGGTCCTTAGGACCGATTCCATCTGCGTAGATTGACGGAATGCAAAAACCTTCCACTGGCAGCTGATCGTATTTATCACATAAGTTTTCATTACTCATGTCATCATTCTCACTTTTGATATCTCCAGGTCTTATAATCAGTAGAAACCTTGTCCGATTGACAAAACATTCCGCTACTAATATATAAAAATACCTACTTTCAAGATCTCGTCGCTTCAGTGAATCACTTGAGCCCTGATACATCTTCGGTGCCATGGCCTTGGATTAATTATCAGTTACATAAATTGTTTAAGAAATAAATCTCCAGCAAATATATGTATGAAACGGGTTTGGATATTTGTCTCACATTCGAAGGTCCCTATACAAATACCACACTCGTAAATTTGAAATACCTTCCACCTTAGAATTACTTCATTTAAAAATTAAGTGGAATAGTGACATTTTGGTCGATGCAAGAGACGGATCTAGAATTTTAAGTTTATGGGTTCCTATAGAAATCTCAAGTTAGTATACAATAATAATTGGATTAACGGACTGAGTTCCAAGTTAAATATTCTTATACATTCAATAAATTTTTTAATACAAATACCAAATCTAGGCAAAAATTACTGGAACCCGTAACTAAGGCACTAGATCCGCCTGTCGGTCATGTTGATATGTAACCCTAAATAATAAGTTTGAAAGGATGGAAAATAATAAGTTTGTTCATTTCTATCTTAATTAATCCCTTGCTTATAATCGTGGATTCGCTTGCGTAGCGCGGTAGTTGACATTTAATAAACTCCAAACATTAATTTTTCTTTTTCTTTCTTCTTTATCAAATGTAGTAAATTATCTAAATATAATAACGTGTTAATAATTCTTTGTCATGACTGCGGATTTGCTTGTGTAGCGCTGTCATGACTAAGTCAATAAATTTCGTCTAGATCACGCATTCGTTTGCGTAGTGTGATTATGCTATTTTATTATATTCTTCAATTTCAAGAAATAAAACCCGATATGTAAAAAATAAAAATCATAAAAATCATAGTTTGTCCAAAATTAATTTAAGCCAAGTTTTAAGTCAATAAAGCGACCGTGGTAGAACCACGGGACTCGGGGAATGCCTTAAACCTTCTCCCCGGTCAACAGAATTCTTACCCGAACTTTGTTTTTGCGGACCGATAATAATAGAGTCAAACCTTCCTTTGACTAGAGATTCAAATAAAAAGGTGACTTAGAACACCCAAAAAATCAATTCCAAGTGGCGACTCTGTAAATAAAATAATCCCTACTCAAATTTGTCACTTTAATTAAAAAAATTCTTTAATCCACAATCTATAACACATCTATATCTTTTGCGGGGGTAGAAAAGGGGTGTGACAAGCTGGATAGTAGATTCTGGAGCTACCTCACATGTCACACCAAGAAAAGATTTTTTCTCATCTTATACTCATGTTGATTCTGGAGTGTTAAAGATGGGCAATGCCAGTGAAGTTAAGCTGTTTGGTATTGGCACAATTTGTTTGAAAACTAATAATGGTTCAACGTTAGTTCTTCAAGATGTCAAGCATGCTCCAGACTTTCCTTTCAATTTGATCTTCGCAGGAAGATTAGACGATGAAGGTTACCATAATGCTTTCTTTAATGGCCAAGGGAAGCTCACCAAGGGCTCGTTAGTAGTGGCTCGAGGAGTCAAGTCTGGTCAATTATATGTGACACAAGGCTCTATTCTTAATGACTCTATAAATCTGGTGGAAAGTGATACTTTATCAGAATTGTGGCACCAAAGACTAAGTCATATGAGTGAGAGAGGGATTACGTGTTTGGCTAAGAAAAGTTTGCTTTCTGGAGTGAAATAAGCAAAGCTAAAAGGTGTATCCATTGTTTAGCTGGCAAACAAAAAAGGGTTTCCATTCATAGTCATCCTCCCTCAAGAAAGCCCGATTTATTAGAGCTAGTACACTCTAATTTGTGTG